CACCGTTAAGGGGCAAATAACTCACCGCTGGCTTGATTATTTTCAAGGCATTAATGAAATCACATTAGGAATATTTGAAAACATAAAGAATTGGCTAAAATCAAGTAGGTTGAACCCTGACTCACAGTTATTTGTAGGTAATACTGCTAACTCTCCATTATGTTCCCTGTCCACAAACAAATAAATAGAAAGGAAGAAAGAAAAATCATCTCTGGCTTATTGCTCTGTACATAACCATAAAACAGAAAGATACTATCTAGTTAAATCATCACTTGGTTTAGAAAAAAAACAAAATCAGTCACTTCCTCATCTCATTCAGTCATTTTTCACAGCAAAGTTTCAGATTTAAAGGAGAGTATATAAAATTTGAATGCAAAGAAATACATAAAAGCCTAATCTGTATTCTTGGGTTTAGAAGTTACTTTTGGAAGTTAAGTAAGCATTGTCAAGGTGAAATTTTAAAATTCCACTTTCAAATATAACCTTGTTGGAGATGATGATAGAAATATTTTCAATGACAGAAAGTTACATATTATTTTCAGATTGAACTGAGTGTTTCTTACAAGTATGTTGTGCAAGTAGAACAAACTCTCTTTTTACATGATTAACTGTATAAGATAATGCATTAGTTTAAGGGTAAGTTGCAAAAAAGAACTGATGACAAATTCCTTGCTCATAAGCTAGTCATCATCAGGGAAAAAAAAGAAAGGAAATGAATTTCACTCAGAGGTACACATTACCTGCCAGAAATGAGGATTTATATTTTCAGGTGATCAAACAAGATACAAATAAACTGATTTCATTTTACTGAAAAGCTATCAATAATTTAAAATTTCTTAAAAGTCCTGATGCTGTGTAGTTAGTAATTCAGCTGAGCGCTTATGTATGTCAGGAGCCTTTGACTGGAAGCCATTCTCATATTCTAGTTTCACATTCTTGCTCTTTCAAATTAATAAAATTGTTTACCTTATTTAAAAAAATCATTATATAATCAGGTCTGGACAGATTGTGGAATCATCAAGCATTTCCCATTTTGATGAAGATTTGAACTGTGGGGAATTTAACATATAGCATGCTTTATGAAATTACTTTCAAAGATAAGCATAATGAAATTATTAACATTAAAAATACATTATTATTTTGTCAGTCCCCTCAGGTTTATAATGAAATTTTGCATAAGAGAAATTTAATTTTTATTTCAGAAATATGTAGTGTACTGAAAGAAATAAGATTCCCCTAGTATTTCCTTTCATGTTAACTTGTAGACGTATTTTTCCCCATACGGTTGGCCCTTCTTTTCAAAGAGAATGTCTTTTCAGAACTGTGGCTGCTCAGTTCCTCCAGGCATGGTGTGAATGTGTGGTATAAGAAGGAAGAATCTTGAGTCTGTTGTAGTAGCGTGGGAACTTAGGTTTATGTAAGACAAGAAAACTTAGTGACAGAACACTTTACTGTAGATAACTTGGCATCATTTCATGAAGAGTATAGCTCCACATTTCTGCCTCTGGGAAGACACCTTATTGAAAATTTTTATTTCTTTTTATTTCTTCCTGTGTTCATTACAGTAGTCAATGGTTACTGCCAAAAAAAAAAAAAAAAAAAAGGAAAAGAAAGAAAAGAAAGCTTCATGAGCATATTAACAACATTTGTGGTGCAGTGGTAGAACAGAACATAAAAAATACTGTTGGAGTTGTAGGATGTTGCTTCATCTAAGGCATCATTTCACTAAAACCTGTTGTCGTGCTGGAACTCTCTTAGTGCAACCATTATATTTCATAAAGATTTTAAATAGCAGGCATTAGCTAGCAAATTAAAAGCTGTCCTTTCTTGTTAACCTGCATATGAGACCAACATAGAAACCTTTCTTCTGGCAGTTTCTTGTTGGATGCTGTGTGTTGGAGACCACTCTACCAGCTTTGTGCAAAGCAGTATATGGAAGCTGTTGACTTCACTAGGAACTGAGTATCTTGTCAGTGAAGATAAAGATAATTTTCCTGGGGTGTACACAGGCCTAGCTCCATTACTAGCTCCATTACAAGTGAGGAACTGAGTTCCAGTTTTGAAAGTGTCCCTTCCTAGTAGATTGAATATATGAATATCAATACCCCGTTAACTGCTTGGTTGAAGACTGGAGCAGTTCCAAAGATTAATGTAAAGGATGTACTGATCTAATGCTCCCTTCTAAAAGGTTTAATAGAATAAAAATGAATCAATTAGATTTTAGATATTCAGTGGAATTTTTTACTGGGAAAATTTTATTTTGTAGTTTGTACATTCTTTATATTGTAAATTAAATAAAAAAGTAGGTGTTAAGTGTTGAAAAAGTCAATGAAACTAATTTCAGATGACTTTGACTTTAATGAAAAAAAAGTTGCTTTGCTTTTGGTGATCTCAGTTTAAAAAAAGATGCATTTTTTAATTGAATCTCAGAAGATCTGTGAACCATTTATTTTGAGTTGAAATGTTTTTATTAAGGTGAATGGAGTTACAGTGGCCCATTGCAGAGGTATTTTAAATAATGATCATTTCTGGCATGTTCTAGTTGCAGAAATAAGTAAAGGAGATGCAAAATGGGAGTTGGACAGTGGTATTAGCATGGCCCTGCTTCTGGGCTAACGTAATCTATTTCTCATCCAGGGTAGTTTCCTTGGATGGAAACTACAATGATCCAGACCAGCTGGTGTTGGTGCCTACTTTACTCATATCTAGCTGCAGTTTACTTGGATGGAAACTACAATGATCCAGACCAACTGGTGTTGGTGCCTACTTTACTCATATCTTGCTGCAGTATTTTTTCGGAACACATTATTATGAGCTCAAGGGTTTGGTTTGTTTGTTTTTTTTCTTTCCCTGAGTAAAAATCTTAAATATCCTAAATCCTAAATATCATGAAAAATGTAAAATATACTATAGGACAATTATGTCTGATCCTAAATTTAGTCAGAATAAAGCATTCATATAAAATAATTTCAAATATGAATATCATGCAAAAACTTGTCCTGTAAAAAGACAGCGCTGTCATTAGCCAGCTGTATACAAATGGCCTTTGATGCTATAAATACTGATTCTCACATGTGAGCTAAAAAAAACAAACCAACTCTACTCACTCAGTATTTGGAGAAACCCATAGACACGTCTGGCATATTTGTCTCTATAGAAGCTGAATGTGCCAAACTGTTGTTACTGAACTTTCAAGGGCTAAAATGATACAGACCTGATTGTAAAAAAAAAAAAAAAAAAGATAAAAAAAAAAAAGATCTGCACTCTACCATCTCAAAATCTGGTGAATTAATGCTGTCTTTTTTAACAATAAGGGTGCCCTTTGTGCATTATATTGTATCCTCTAAGGGTCTGGAGGTGTGCAATTTTCTGCTCATCAAGATGGAAAAAAAGGTCTCCAGGTTTAAATCTGTCAGCTTCCCTAAGAAAATAATGCAGTGAAAAACAGTAGTGAGATAGGCTGTGAAGAAAAATGGTCCTTAATACCTTTGGTGGCTAGGCTTTAATTCCTTAGGTGATCCTAAGTTATTTGGATACATGCTAGCACACTTATGCATCTATTGATCATTTGCCATCTAGAAATGAGAGGGCCAGAGCGTATTTTGGACTAGGATTACAGTGTGAGTGAATTAGGTTTCCTGGTATTATAATGTCAGCTTTGGAAGGATAGCCTGGCAAAAATGTAATAGTGCAGGAGAGCGAGATGGCTCTGAGCATAAACGCTGTCCTCAGTTCGGCACAGAAGCTCTTCTAACTATGTGTAAATACAGAAATATACAGTATTGTTTGTGTAATAACATTTCTTTTTACCCCTTCCTGTTTAAACCTAAAGAATAAGAACAAACAAAAAATGCAATAAAAGCAAGTTCAGAGTGACCAAAGTCAAAGACATATCAGACTTTCCACAAAGTCTTTTCCACAAATTTTCCTTTGCTCAGATATACCAAGAGTGCATCTACCAGGGGAGCTAAGGAGATGTTTTCCTCTGGGTTATCCACAGCCCCTGCATTAGCCTGTGCTGTAGAGCATAGGCTTTGTGACACATAAGCAAACACCTTCCTTGTCATTGATGTGGCCAGCCCTGTGATACTTCATGACACAGTCAGATGGCTGTTTCCACAGGGTTCACGGATAATGCAGTCTGGAAAGTGGAAAGGGAACACAAGCAAATCAAATGTGAGCTTTTCCATCCTCTGCTGGCTGAAATTCACAATTCAAATACTGGGGGTTTACACAGTTTCTTCTACTGGGTATTAAAAACATAACATCATGTTTGTATGTTCACCTATATAATTTTGTCTGTCTATGTATATTTTAATTTCTGCATATACACCTGTTATGACTGCTTACCTACAAAAACACAAGAGTAAGCACTGAGTGAAAAGATGAGATTCATGTAAATTACGATATTAGCCTATTCAGGGCAGTAAGATAATGACCACCCAGCTCTTAGCATTCGGGGTACGTGAGGTGTCTATAAAGAAGCATGAACATGTCTTAAATTCTGCTGTACTGTGGCCTGAAAAAGAGTGGCTGAACAACTGGTAACAAACAGAACAATTAATTTACTGAACTTACACAACCTCCTCCCCAAAAGGCACTGGGAATTTACCATTCTCCAGCTTACATGTGTTGCTCCTGTTCATCTTTCACATCTCTATATCAGTCTGCCCTACAACAAAGAAGTCTGTGCAAATTGTACCTTGTGGCTGTGACTTTTCAGAGATAATGGAAAAGAATGTGCAGGTGCAGAAATTGTTACAGCACACGACCAAGGCAAGTGAGGTTTTTGGCCTGATTTCTAAAGTACCTAGAGTAGGGAAAAAAGAGGAAAACAGGTAAATATATATATATGTATTTCCTCAGGGACTAAAAAGGAAAGCATAGATCCATTGTCCAGAAGGTATCCTGATGCTTTACACTCAGATAGACCTTATCAAACACCAAATAATAGTAGGAAATGTGGAACTGATTTCAATTTGTGTATGCTTTCATTGCAGGAATATCAAATTGATATATTTTTTGCCCAGACGTGGACAGATAGCCGTCTTCGTTTCAATAGCACCATGAAAATACTGACTCTGAACAGCAACATGGTTGGCTTGATTTGGATCCCAGACACAATATTTCGAAACTCAAAGACGGCAGAGGCTCACTGGATCACCACCCCGAACCAACTCCTCCGCATATGGAATGATGGCAAGATCTTGTACACTCTCAGGTGAGCACTCTGTGAGTTACAGTGATGAAAACTTCTCTTATCTCTGCTGTGGTAGTAGTAAATTTCAGTGGTATCTTTGTTCTCCTCTGCTGTGTTCTTCGTGATGCTTACCCGGCCATGCTTGACAAATATGAAATATTCAGACATAAGTACTGCTGAGTTTAAAAAAAACCAAACTTGTGTCTTTCTAAAAAAAGTAACTTTGAGAAATAGTCTGTCTAAACTGTAGAAGTTCTCTTTTCTAGTGCCTATAATAAAATCAAGGGCATGTAGTCCCATAAAACCTGTCAGAAACCTTTCTGATCAGACTTAGATTCAGGGTTGGATAAAATATTTCTAGATTCATGCTAATGCCATTACTTGATTCTTCAAAGAAGTCACACTGAAAGATATTCTGTAATATCTCATTGCATGGTGAATTGCTTGAGGAAAGGCTTTTAGAGTTTTTCTATCTTTGTGATACCATCAACTCTGTGGTATTAGAAATACTGTATATGTTTGCATAAAAAAGTCTGTGGAGATCAAAATATGTGTTTACTCATGGAAGAGATGAATTGCTCAGAAGGGAGTTTTGCCATAAGCCATATTCCACACAGCAAGCTGTTTCAGAAACATCCCTTTTATACTACTTTCTCTCCAGTGATTGTGTTCAGCCCTTTCGGTGCAAAAGCATATTCTGCTCAGGATTGCAATTGCACTTGGGCTTCAATAGAAAGTCTTTGGCAAACAATAAGAAAGGAATTAAATAGCTAGATAAGCTACTGATATTTTTAGTTCCCTTCTGTTCTTAGTCTTGCTCCAGTGTAAACAGCTCTTGCTTATTTCAGTAGCCTTTAGATAAAAGTTCAGGGTTAGGATGTCAGATCCAATACCCTCTTAGTTGGACTGGGGTTTTTATTTTTTGTTTTGATGGGGTTTTTGCTTGGTTGGGGTATCTTTTGTGTTTAGTTGTGGGGTGTTTTTTTTTTATTAAGTCCTATTTCAGTATTTCACAGCAAGTTAGGTTTCTACCTAACAGAAGCTAGACTTACTTAGCTGTCACTAAAGAGAATATTTGTTGAATGGACTGCAAAATTCTTCTAAAACAGCTAAAAAAGGGGTAATACTTGACCCAGTGGATTGTTTGAATAAGCATTTTTAGCTTGTGAAAGAAGTTTTCAGTCCATTTTGCCCACTCAGGTCAGCCTCTTTTTTACATAGGAAGAGCTGTTAGAATCGTAGAATCATAGAATAGTTAGGGTTGGAAAGGACCTTAGGATCATTTAGTTCCAAGCCCCCTGCCATGGGCAGGGACACCTCACACTAAACCATATCACCCAAGGCTTCATCCAACCTGGCCTTGAACACCACCAGGGATGGAGCATTCACAACCTCCCTGGGCAACCCATTCCAGTGCCTCACCACCCTTACAGTAAAGAACTTCCTCCTTATATCCAATCTAAACTTCCTCTGTTTAAGTTTGAACCCATTACTGCATGTTCTATCACTACAGTTCCTAATGAAGAGTCCCTCCCCAGCATTCCTATAGGCCCCCTTCAGATACTGGAAGGCTGCTATGAGGTCTCCACACAGCCTTCTCTTCTGAACAGCCCCAACTTTCCCAGCCTGTCTTCATATGGGAGGTGCTCCAGTCCCCTGATCATCCTCGTGGGCCTCCTCTGGACTTGTTCCAACAGTTCTATGTCCTTCTTGAGTTGAGGACACCAGAAGTGCACACAATACTGCAAGTGAGGTCTCACAAGAGCAGAGTAGAGGGGCAGGATCACCTCCTTCGACTTGCTGATCACATGATCACACTCCTTTTGATGCAGCCTAGGATACAGTTGGCTTTCTGGGCTGCAAGTGCACATTGACAGCTAATGTTCATATTCTTATCAACCAAAACCTAGAGGTCCTTCTCTGCAGGGCTGCTCTGAATCTCTTCTCTGCCCAACCTGTAGCTGTGTCTGGGATTGCTCCGACCTAGGTGCAGGACCTTGCACTTGTCATGGTTAAACTCCATAATGTTGGCACCAGCCCTCCTCACAAGCGTGTCAAGGTCCCTCTAGATGGCATTCCTTCCCTCCAGTGTATCAACTGAGACACAGCTTGGTGTCATTGGCAAACTGTTGAGGGTGCACTCAATTCCACTGTCCTTGTCAGCGACAAAGATGTTGAACAAGACCGGTCCCAATACTGATCCCTGAGGGACACCACTCGTTACTGGTCTCCGGCCGGACATTGAGCCATTGACCACAACTTTTTGCATGTGGCTATCCAGCCAGATTTTTATCCACCGAGTGGTCCACCTATCAAATTGACATCTCTCCAATTTAGAGACAAGGATGTCATGCAGGACAGTGTCAAATACTTTGCACAAGTCCAGGTAGATGACGTCAACTGCTCTGCCCCTGTCTATCTATTCTGTAGCCCCATAATAGAAGGCCACCAAATTGGTCAGGCAGGATTTCCCCTTAGTGAAGTCATGCTGACTGTCACCAACCACCTCATTGTTTTTCATGTGCCTTAGCACTCCTTCCAGGAGAATCTGCTCCAAGGTTTTGCCAGGCACAGAGGTGAGACTGACTGGTCTGTAATTCCCTGGGTCATCCATTTTCCCCTTCTTGAAAATGGGGGTTATATTTCCCTTTTTCCAGTCGTCGGGAACTTCACCTGACTGCCATGATTATTCAAATATGATGGACATTTAAGAATGATCATTGTTCATTGATATCACTTTGTAACTCAAAAATGATTTTTCTGACTTAATTGTCAGAATTGTTATGGCATGCGAGAGATACCTACTATATGCCCTGGTACAGCTGTGTGTTTATTAGAGTTTTGTGTTCAAAAGAAAGTGTACAAGATTCAACCACTCTCCATGCTTTTCCATCCTCTTCCTTGCCTGTTTTGGGATATGAAAGAATTTTACATTCACACTCTAAGGAAATGTGGAGAATGTTCCTTATAAGATTCCTTCTGAGTTTTCAGTTTTGTGGAATTACATTCTGTATTTCCTGTTATTTTTGTAAACAATAGTTTTTTTCATCCCATATCTTTCAATGATGTATTAGCTAGAGAAAAACATAGACACAGATTTCTGGGTATCAAGAAATTCTTAATGATGTGTCTGAAATTATTTGTGCTTTTAGATAATTATTATTGTTTTGGGTAAGACCTATGTGGCCAATGAACAATCTTCAAATCAAGTCCTTTCCTTTTGAGACTTACTTATGGACGTCAAAATGCTGTTGCATGATACCTAAGGTTACCCTGCCTCGCCCCCTGACCGTTCATTGTGCTGCTGTATAGTAATAGATGATTGGTTTCTCCATAGGCTTACCATCAATGCTGAGTGCCAGCTGCAGCTTCACAACTTCCCAATGGATGAACACTCTTGCCCTCTGATATTCTCTAGCTGTAAGTACTGCTTTGATGCCTCATTGTTCTAAATGACTAGTATTCAGAGGCATGAGTTTAATTCTGATTTCTGTTGAACCGTTCCACGACAGGTATAGGAAATTTAGATTTGCATAAATATTCAGGAAACTTTTGTTTTCCTCTCTAGCAATCCTGGTGGATGGACTTCAGCCATGAAACATGAAGTCTTCTGTAGATTTACTTTGTTATTTTTACCAGAACCAGCCTTTTTAGTTCATACTATAGTCAAACTTTCAGCAGGAGCAGATATTCATACTAGTCTTTGCTATGGTAACCTATAAAATCATGTGACATGCAACTGAAAATAGAAATTGCCATTTTGTAGGGGAGACGCACAGCTAGCAATCTCTGAACATATGAGTTTACAGCAAGTAACATGGTAATGCCTCTCTGTTCCATAATAAAATAAATGGTGTAACTACTGTGAATCTCATTTTCCTTTTATTCCTCGGCTTTTCAAGTAGTCCCAGTGTTGTATTGTATATAGTGTTGTTGGTACATTTAAAACCTACCTCAGGCAAAACAAATACTTTGGTGAAATGGATGCAGAACGAAAGTCAGGTGAGTTAATAGTAAGGTCCAATATTACTGTGAGAAGTTATCTTCATATTGATTCATTTAAAAAAGCTTGAGAGCTATCTGCTAGTGGGTATACCTGCACAGTTTTGTAATTCAGAGCCACAAAACCAGATGTTTTACCAACATTTGTAAAAGTGTCAACTAAAAATACTTATTTTGATAAACCCCAAGACTGAGGATTTGTGTTCTCCAAAAGTGAACAGGAAATGTATTGTTCTATCTTTTTATTTAGAAAACGGCATTTTCTCTATCATCTCTTAAAAATGATTGAATAATAACACTATTTAATGCCTTCATATCAGATATGCTGTTGTGATAGTAGGGTATTAATTTCCATTTATGATATACAAACAGTGATCCTCAATCAGAAACTGGATTTAAACTTCAGCTAATCCAGTGTGTATTATTCTTTTTCCCCAGGAAAATGTTTTTAAAAATTCTGCCAGTGTAAACATCTCCCTTTCCCCCCCAAACATCATTACAAAATTGCCATTTTTAACACCTATGCATATGAGTGAGGTTAGGCAAAAAAACACAATGGTGGATTTAATTCAGATGTGTGCAATATATGCATACTCTGAACAAGACATAACTGAACAAGAGGCAAATAGCTCCCAAATGACCTTTTCTACTAATGAACACTTGTCACTGAACTGTATGCACCTCAGCTGTCTTTAGTTAGTGCATAATGCTTCTCTTACCTTGTGGCAATCTGCTGTTGATTTGTTGAGGTACTGGGAAAGGAGTGTGTGATATTAAAAATGAAATCCCAGTCCAGAGATACTAATTAAACCTACCACATAAATTTAATAGGTCCTGCACTAGCAATATCTGAAAATGGTGAACTTTAATATAAACAGGAAAGTTGCTTCAAACCTTGCATTCCCTGGTAGCTAGACGGTTGAAGAATGAAAGTAAGTCAAGCTGTGTGTTTTTTATTTAAAGAGAGAGGATATCAGTGGGAACTTCAGAAGGCTGTGCTCCATGGCAAAGTTTCAAATACGTCCTGATTTGCGGAGGTTCCTCATAATTTAGATCTGTTAGCTGAGAGCCCTTCTGCTCTTGAAAATACACATGTATTGCCATCATACATGTACTAACATTTACGGAGATTACACAGGATGAAGGAGAAGCTGAGTATGTCACAGTTTCTATATGTTCTCTGTGTAGTCTTTTGTCAGATGGAAAACCCCATGGAGAAATATTAAATTATATTGTATAGTTTTGTCAGCCTTTGTAGTCACGTTGATAACAAGGATTTATTTCTTTAGGTTCATATGGAATTGTGTTCTTCTCTTCAACACATTTAGCACTACTATTATCATAATAGCAGGACATTCTCTGTATGATTTGTTTGTTTCAGAACGCGGTTGTATTTTAGTGGTGTGCACATTCATAGCAGTCTCTAGATACATGCCACTCAGCGGGACTTATGACTGAATGAATGCCTGAATGATTTATTACTGCCTGCTATGACAAGTTTCTGAGGGAACAAGCTGATTACAGATTCCAAGATATATGTCCTTGAATAAGATAAAAATGGTTGTAGAATTCACAGCACAGCTTCACTTCCCTCAGCATCCTTTTTGCTTGTTCCCTGGCATGCAGACAAATCTTCGCAGTTTCCACTGCAGGCAAGCACAAAAAAGCACAAGTTTAGAAGAATATTCCCTGCAGCTCTACACACATATGAAGAAGGTTAATATTTGAGATTTCTTACTTTTTATATAAATTTCCCTTGATATTACAGAAATGTGAAAGTAATCTTAAATCATTTTATTTTCCTCTAGTGTTATTTAATTCACACCCTAACCCTGTTGTTGCTGTGGGGACAGCTGACATTCCTTTGGTGAGAATATTGATCTCTACTGGGTCTGGTTGCCAGGATGAATATGGCAAAACCAGCATCTTACGCACAAGAGACCATCTCAGTGTGCTAACAGTAATTACTAAAACCTACCTACCACTTCCTGCGGAAAATCTTGCTCAATAATGGTTCCTGGAGTTCTGTAGTCTCTTTTATAGGAATTAGAAAGTATTGAAATAATTTGAAAGCTCTTCACTCACTCTCTGTAAGTTTTGTATGTGCTTCAGGTGGTGAGATGAATCATCTGGCATATTAGTGCATGTTGCAGGTGTGTGTCTTTCATTGTCATTCTTATGTAGATGTGCACTTAGCACACTGCTTATGTGAAAAGCTGAGCCCAGTGGAATAATGCAGGGCTGCTATACAACGTGGCAGCTCTTTCCTAGTCTTTGTACCAGATTGGTTTGGTCATTCACATGCGACAAACAGGATTCCTTAATACAGAGATGCTACAACACAGGCACCAGTGCCAACAGATGGTATGAATGTATGTGTTTCCCTGTGAATATGAAGAATCAGTGCTGCTAATTGACCCCAGTGTAGCAATCTTTGATATGCTATATCAATTTGATATGCTTTATCAAATATTATATGATCATATTTTCTTTATATAAAGTACTATATATTACTGCATAGACATATTCTGTCAGTGAGATTCTTTCTTTGGGTGAATTTATCCTTCTTAGCCAATGGACACTGCTTTGCTAGTTTTGGTACTCAAGTAGCATATTAAACTGTCTTGGTTATCTTTTTCAGCACTGATTTGAGGATTGTGGAAATAATTTCAGGATTCTGCCGTAAAGTTTAGTTTATTGAGGTCGCTAAGATTCACATAATCATCAAAAAGGAAGAAGAGGTATTCATGTCAGCACAAGTATAAACAAATAAGACACAGGAAGCAAAAGACAGGCTGGAAATGAGAAATTAAACACATTAAATGTGGAACTCCCACCATAGGATACTGTGGGTGCTAAAATTCTACAGGGATTCAAAAGCATTTTGGGAAATCATTGAAAGAAAAATGCTTTGGGAGCTATTAAGGATAATGAGATCCTGCTGTACTAATGGCCACTTTTTTTAATAATTTTTTTTTTTTTTTTATTCTGAGGGAGTAAGAACATTTCACACTAAATAGTAGGCAAAACTGGCCTCATGGCTAAGCTACTTGAAGAAATTCTTTTCCATTAGAGTCACGACAGGTTTCCAGCTGACCTACATGGTTGGTTTTCCTTTCCTTTGTCAGCCACTATAGGACTGTTGAATGTTCTGGATTTTCTTAATTTAAGAGGACTAGGCACATTGCAGAATAACTTGATCATGTTTGTACCCACACCTCAGCAGCAATTGTTAAGGTGTTAATTTTTTCAGCCCAGCACAAATTTTCATTTCCTCTCCCCTTCCATGTGCTCAAGATTAATGTAAATTCATGACACTCCTCCAGGCAACAGCATATGACAGTCATATAAAAATACAACCAACAAACACATTATACCTTGTTTAGAGCATCTGGTCAACTAACATTTTAATTACATACAAGGAACTTAAGGTGGAAATCAGTGCTGGCTGCATACCTAAGACCTGAAACAATCTCAAAGGCCATGCTTCAGGGTTTACCAAATGCAGCAATATTAAGCTACAGTGCAAGACATCAGAATAAAAATGATTACTGAATTGATTAATGGGTTTTCATTCCTTTATTTTTCTTGCTGCTGTTCTGATCAAACTCCAGACACTGTTGTTCATTTTAAAAAACACCTTAGATTTAGGCAATAGAAATTATGACATTTTTATAGCCAATTACTTACGTTTTCCCCAGTGAGAAGGTCTACAGTGTCCTGAGTTGGCCATTACTGGAGTATTGCTGTAAGGCAGGAAAATGTGATCGTGTCTGGAAGCACTAAAATATACACCTGAAGTTTCATTAACAGTTAAAGTGTTTTCAGTTCAGTTTAAAATAGGGTAAAGCAAAATTTCCAGCTATTGATGGTCCAGTTTGCTCAGTCAGGTCTTTAAACACTTGCTTTTAGCCTTCTAAAAGTTCAAGGGTTTGTGTTTTTCTAAGTGATGTACAAAAGCTTGCAAACTATTGCACAAAAAAAGTAAGGAAATGTGAACTGCATTTGGAAGAAATTTATCCAATCTAACATAGTGCTTGAAAGAAACAGATTCTGCCTTTCTAAATATAAACTCAGTTCAATCAAATGCTCCCCCCTTTGAACATGAAACCTCTTATGGCTATGCAATCAGTACTTTGAGCCTCATATCATTAATTTTCTAACAGAACTAGCTGTCATCGCAAGTTTTAATATGTTTCTCCTAGCCTAGAAAAGTAAATGCTGGTTTTGTGGAATGAGCTGTGCTTTGTTTCATCTCATGAATCTCATCAGCAAAATCATTAATAAAGTCTGAGGGCAGAATTTTATTCCTGATGAAGAGCAAGCCAGAAGGAAAACAGCTTAATGTTCATATCTCAAAAGGAGTTTCATTAAAGATGCTGGCAAGGCATTGCAATGTGTAGAAAGAGCTTTAATCC